CAACGGTGCAATCAAAATTTAATTTAGATGGACGGTTTAGTAGTTATGACTTTTTTTAATCTATACCGCACGCAAATCAATGGAATGGAAAAAAAATAATGTACTCGTGGCCCCCCACTTCCTGTGCTTGCGGTCCCCCACTTCCTTGCGGGCGCCAGGCTGGGAGCGGGAAACCCTCCCGCGCGCTCTGCGTCGTTCGGCGCGCGGTACCGGTCCGATTGACCGGACCCTAGCAGCCCCCTTACTCCTAGCCCTACCTAGTGGCAACCGATGGCATAAGGAAGCGGAACAGGAAAAGAAGTGAAGGAGGAGGAGCAGGATATGACACGTGAGATGGCAGCGAAGCGAAGGTAGGAGGGGTGTGTGGCGCGCAGGAGATTCCTGTGGTGTCCTTTTCGCCACCACTCAATGGCGAGAGGAAGGCCGGGTCCGCGTTAACCCGGAGGCTGCAGGCTCTTTCAATGGATCGACAATGACACCGTTGTGCACCAGATACAGATAGTCCACGCAAATCCAGAGGGAATCTGCCATCACACACTTGGACTCACTTCGTAGACGTTGGAGGGGGTACGTCTTTTTCGCTCGGGTTAACCGTGTGATCGGGCTGATCGAGAGTCCGAGACAGGCGACACGCACCGAGCACCGTACGTAGACGTATGTAGGTGACGGCCAAAGAAAAGCCGCAATTTTTTTGTGTGTGTTTTTTCTCTGAACAAGCAATCCATCGATCGGCAGCGCGAATGTGTGAACGAAGATAAAAGAACATCCTTTGGATAGCTTAACCACGAGCCTTCGATCTCATAATAGCAAAAACGCCAACTTCGAAAACGCCAAGAGCATATATATCCGCACTGAAAACCGATCTACTAGCTAGTAGGCTAAAGTTGCCAACAAGTTCGAGTTCGAGTTCAACTTCTTACCAAAACGGGCGACCACCAAAACCACATCTCTTCGATCGCTTCGTCTGGAGACCGGAGCGCCGGAGATGATGAAGACAGAAGAACGGAAGGGATCGGAAGGGCCGGACGGCTCACGATCGATGTCGATCTTGTTCTAGTCATGCAGAATGGCCGGGTAGGTGACGAGGCGCCTGTCGCAGGCGGTGCAGGCGAACCTCCGCTTGGTCCTGCGGCAGAGCGGCAGGCAGCAGAGCACCCACTTGCCCTCCACGTCCGTGGCCGCCACCCCGCCGCCGCAGTAGGGGCAGCTCCCGGGCGCCTTCTGCACGCCCAGCACCTTCTCCTCCTTGCCGCACAGCATCACCGCGCCGGACGACGACGACCCTCCCGCCGCAGCCACCCCCGCCATCAATCCCGGCCTCACTTCGCCCTCTGGCTCTCTCTCACTCTCACAAGTAGGACACCAGCTAGCGAGCTGAGGGTAGAAGCTGCAGGTGTGCTTGACCGCAGGACGTGTACTCGATCGCTCGGTGCTGTGGGCTAGCTAGCTCTTGTCAGTTGAGGACACATCACGTCACGGGTGCTGCCGTGCAGCAAGCGCTGGCTGGCCTGCTGGCCGGCAATCGATCGAGCTAGCTAGCTGTGTGCCGGTACGTGGGGCTCGCGTGTTAACTCCGGTCGGGTTCTCGCAATCAATTCTCTCCTGCCTTTGTGGTTGGTGCGGTTGCCGTGGCTGGCGTACGGCGGCACGCGTGAGCGTGAGCTCGCTGGGGGATTTATCGTCGTGTGTGTGTGGGCGCTGCACTGCATGCCCGCCCAGTGCGGCTCTCGTCAGCCGAGTCTGTCGTCGTCGTTGCGGACGAGTGTGGAGGGCCGATGGGACGAGGGGGCCGGCGAAGCATGCGCGTGCATGGTGCGTCCGTCGTCGAGTGCGGGCTGACGTGAGGGCCGGGCGGGGCGGCAAAGCAAGCTGCCTTTGCATGGCGCGCGCGCGGTAGGCTCGGCGGTGGACGGGGACAAGAGGACGCGGCGGAGATGCGCGCGCCGGCCGGGCCGCTTTTGCCTGGGCTTATTTGGATAGGTCACATGTACTGCTTGGCCTGTGGGGCCGTGAGGGTGCGTGGTGGTGGCCACTGGGTAGTATCCCACGTCCTTCATGCGAATCGGTGCGCGTCGTTGCATGACCTGCGTCCAACCTCGTCATCGTGCCTGTGTCCCACACCGTATGTTCGTGTATGTACATGTACTAGCTTTAATCTCGTATACCTCTAATCTCATATACCTGTACAGATAGAGAGACCACTAGCGATCATTGATTGAAATAAAACTTCAACCATAGATCGAGAGCCACATCATCACTGTTATTCTAGCCGTCTCATCTTAGCTAGGAAATTCAATCCTGGCCATTTCTATTTTCTGCAGATCTATACGCTCCGACGTTTTGGTTTGGTACTCTCTTAACCTCCTATAACCGATGAGACATAATGCATAATTGTGGGAGAGAATTCTAGCGTTCCATTGCCATGCCACCGCCCACCACTTCTTGTGGCCTATAAAATCAACCCAACCCCAATTGCATTCTCTGTACTCTCGATTAAACTCTAACCATGTTCTCCTTTACAACTAGATCAAGCTCCATGTGTGTTTATTTACGATGGAAAACCACCACGTAAGTTTGCCAAAGATCATGACCGATGCCTCACCAGCATCAACGTCTCGTGGACACAGAAACTTTTGAACGAATATGGAGTGCATGAGCTTCCAAGGTGACGTCGGGGTTCGTCACACGGGAACAACGAGTCTAACACTGAAGCCCCTAGGTACTCCTCAATTGATTTAATTAGGCATGTGGATTCAGATTATATTAGGAGCATTCCAAAGTATATTTTCATTCCCCTATTGTCATATGAATCACTTTTGTTTATGTATCAAAATATCCTGTCGCTATTTTGGTACATATGAGATGTGACCAAACATTAGATTGATTTCAATTACATATCTTTTTAACAAGATTTTTGCTTTGATTTAATAGGCATTTAAACATAATTCTCAAATTTCCACGGCAAGTCACTAGGATTCATCTAGTTTGGTTAGTAATAAAACTCAGCCTGAGTGGTTTCTTTCTCAGGTCAATTTTAGTGGGGAGTTTTATGAAAGGTACCACAACATTAAATGAGAATACCGTGTTAAGACCGACTGTAGCTTGCAAGCCATGGACGCGCAGCACTGAGAAAGACGATGATCCAAACCATTACTTTGGGTCTTATGGGCCGTGGCTTTGGGCTGGCACACCTCATATGACCATATGTGCTTTAGTTTAGATATTCTTTGCCGTAGTCGTAGACTGTACTGTCGTCTGCAGTCCGCCCTTTCCTTTCCCTATCACATCCTGGGGCGAAGCTACGTATCCCACAGTGGATGCCCTTGCACCCACAGCAAAAACAAAATTTAGTGTTAATCATCTCACATTCACCATGTGTGCACCCCCCTCAGCCAAGGATCATGCACCCCCACATGCCAACGTGGATGCGTGAAAGCTTGAGCAGACTGAGATTGTCTTAATTTATCAATTAGCATTGCGCGATTTTTTTTTCAATTAAGGTAGAGATAGGCTGGATGCCAAGTACACAAGAATAATAAGGGCTAGGAGCTTGATCGGCTAAAGCTAGTTATTAATGTTATCTGATTCTATGGCAAACAATCGATAGCATCTAATTTTCTATACTTAAACTCTGCAAATATTAGCAATAATTTTTATCTAAGCTTCTGAACTCAATATACACCTTTATAGATTTTGCATACCTCCCTTTATTTTTAAATTTAAGTTTATGTAAATATGATTATTGCTTTAGAAAAACCAAATTTTACCAAGTACTACTTCCATATCTACAAAAGAATGCAATTCTAGGTGCACTCTTCGTGTAAGTATCTAAAGTTTAACCAACTTTATTGATAAAAGTATTCGGGTTGAGCGGTCAATTAAACGGGCTAGATGAATCATTATATAGCATTTATGCAGTGCTTAAACAGGCTAATTGACTGTTTAGAAGAACAATGGTACTATTGAAGTGTTGCACCCCCTCATTTCAACTCTAGCTTCGCCACTGATCACATCTACGCTTCATGTTTCCGATCGCAAATCCAAAGTGTTGTGCCGAACTGCTTGCCCCTGCAGTCTTCTGCTAGTTTGCCTGATTCAACTTGCTAGACAGTCATGATGACGTGACACACGTGAGCTGAGTTCACGGCCGCCCATCGCCAGTGGAGAATAATGGCGTGTTTGGAAGCGTGGCCCAATAGCCCGGCTCCGTCCCTGGGCTGCAAGTCCCGTGTTTAGTGCTCTTGGCCCGGTCTAGAGCCCGGCCCGTCTGATGTAAAAAGCTCTCTCTCTCCTGGCTTTGAGGAAACGACTTCCCCCTCCGTTTTTCTGCGGCCCGGCCAGCAGCAGCGCTCACGCGGCTCGCAGCAGCCCTCAGCGCGGATGGAATCACCTCCGCCGCTTCCCCTTACCCCGTGCGCGCCTCGGCTCCTCCACGGCCTGCGATGGCGGCGTCCATGGCGTCGCACCCCCCTTCCCCCACGCGCGCCTCGGCTCCTTCGCGAGTCGCGACCGCGATGGCGGCATCCATTGTGTCGCCACCCCTTCCCCCCGCGCGCCTCGGCGCCTCTGCGACCACGATGGCGCGCGTCCATGGCGTCGCTGCGGAGGCGGACGGTGCTGGAGACCGTGGCGGTGTACCACCACCAGCAGCGGGCCAGGCGGAAGCTGCACAAGAGCCTCACCGCCACGGTTGACAGCGAAGCTACCTCCCTGCATGCGCCCGGAGCCCAAGGCCGACGCTACAGCGCGGTCCACCTCGAGCGCGAGATCGACCACTCCGGCCACGCACCGGCACCGGCGGCGGTCGCGTGAGCGCACGCCTGGTGCCGCAGCCCGGCCGGCGCGGCGAGCAGCACGGCGGCGACGTGGAGCGGCGTGGCCTGGCGACATGGCTCGGTGACCGTGGTTGGGGCAGCGTCGGGGAGATGGTGGTGGGCGTGGCCATGGCCATCTTCGTCACCATCCTGGTGCTCCTCCTCGCGGACCTCATCTGCGCGCACCTACAGCGCCGTCGGCTCCGCGCCGAGGCGTCCCGGTCGAAGCTCGGCCTGGCCCTGGCAACGACGTCCCCGGCGCGCGGCCACGGCCACGGCCACGACAGCGGCGCGCGAGGCGCTCGCCGGCACACAGCCCTCTCCCTCCCCATCTTCTTCCTCCTGGCCTGCAATGGCGCCGGAGAAGGGCAGCGGCGGCAGCGGCTCCTTGGCCGAGGAGGGCGAGTCCGCGTTCCCCATGCCGCTCGCCCTGCACATGTTCGATGAAATGGCAATGACAACGTTTGGGGTAATGTTACCGCGTTCTGAGGCCAAGGTCACCGCATTCATCTGTACATGCAAAACAAACACGATCTGAATCGAGTTCGGCTCTGCTGAGCCACGTTTCCAAATACGAGCACTTGCACCATTTGGACCGGAGTCTGGCTCAGCCAGGTGCAGGTTACCAAACACGCCCTAAGTTTGCGGATCACAGTCGATCGATCCCACAACAGAGTTTTTTTTATGAAAGATCCTGCAACACAGTAGGGCTACGTTCATCTGAAACTCTTTTTCTATTGTCATTTATTCAATTTGTTGGTCATCAATTAGTTTGTCTAGTGTTTGGCTTAATAACTTAATAATAGTATGATACATTGAGGTGTTGATCTTAAGAAGATTAAGAGATTATTTTAGAAAAAAAATAGACAAATACAGCAGGGCGGTCATTCAGAGCCAAACCAAATATAGCCTTTTATTTTTTTTAATTTTGTCATACCTTAAATTTTCAGAATTGCTCCTATTAGGATGTTCGAACCTGAATAAAATATCAGACGCCTATGACAACCTCACGTTCGTCTCCCTGCCACCCAACCATCCACTCAGAACACCTCTCTTACTTCACATCTTCCTTGTTCTCCTCTCACACCAAGCCAAGCAGACGGCACAATGAGCTCGGCCATGCTTGCCATCTCAAGATGAAGCGATTCCTCGTGGTGAAGCCTGGAGGTGAGCGTTGTGACACAGGGTCGAGGGCAGTGCTAGTGCTAGCAAGCTCTAGCCCACAGGGCGAGCCCTGTGCCCCTCTGACTTCATGACTAGCCCCTCTCCCTCCCCCTCTTGGATGGATCTATGATGCTACGTTGGAGGAGCATGACGCGTTTGTGGGCAAGGAGCAAGAGGCAGAGTAGCGGTGCGTTGGTGAGTAGAGGGCGATGGCCATCTGGCTAGGGCTGGAGCTCCTCGTCAAGATCTGTTTTAGCAGATCCTTCATTCTTGTGATCTTGCAACATATGATTGTTTATGTTGCATTGATCTTTTTGGAGCCGTTGCATTGACTCACTCGGGATGTTGCACCGCATAATAAGCGGATTTTGATATGTTTCTGTTTTAGATGTATTTTTTTGGATGTTGCGGCAATTATACCTATATGTCCCAACATTAAGTTGTCTTGTTGTAATGACTTTTCTCTGCCTGTTGCTGGTTTGTTTGGTCGAGCTCGAGATGGAGATAAACATGTGTTTTTTCTATGTTGCAGTTGCATTCGATGTTGCAACAAGTGACCTAGTTTTTTTGGAAACATTCTCTATCCTATTGCTTCTGGTTTTCACTAATTGTTTCATAATGATTCAAGATGTTGCAACAATTGTGTTTTAATGTTGCACCAGGTTTCTCTAGCTGTTTCATAAGATGATTCAAGATGTTGCAACAACTTGTTTTAATGTTGCACTCATATCTCTTCCTTCTTTTTCTCTGTCATGTCTGGACGGTGCAGCATGAGGTCATAGGTTGGTGCACGGTTGTGCTCCACCGTGGTTGAGCAAGGCGAGTGCATGGAACCTGGTGGGAAAGAGGCCAGGTGCGCGGCGTGGTAAGCATATGAGCAAAGATACTTTTTTAATCATGGAGGTGGGTCAACACATTATCCGACATTTATTTGGATTTTCCTATTTTTCCTATTCACTGGGGCCTTGTTTAGTTCGCGGTTAGGAATCAGTATTTGACACTGTAGCACTTTTGTTTGTATTTGACAATTATTGTCCAATAATGGTCTAACTAGGCTCAAACGATTCGTCTCGTAGTTTACAATCAAACTGTGTAATTAGTTATTTTTTTTATCTACATTTAATACTTGATGTGATGGAGAAAGAGTGAAAAAACTTAATCTAAACAAGGCCTGGATTCGTTCACACGCATAGAAATTTCCAGGCCACGGTCAGCGCTAGATCGCTCCTCGTCATTTCAATTTTGCAGGCCTTGCCAGTTCTCCACGACGGACGATGCAGATTCGTTCCCCAACGGCTACCACGGCCACGCACCACAAAGTACCAAATCCAAACGGCAGGCGCGTCGGTGCACGGCGCCCACGTGGGCCCGCGCCATCCGCGCCGCCCGGGCCTGGGGCCCGCCCGGACTCAACGGTCGGATCTCTAGTCCCTATCATGCGCCGCTCCCTCCGGTTTCAGACAGCAGTTGGTTCTTGGTTCTCATCAAAGCTCGCAACTACTTCCTCCCCTCCCCTTCCCTTCCCTTCCGGCCGCCTCTCCTCCTCCCCGCCTAGGGTTCCGGTTCCGCCCCCGTCCGAGCACCTACCCAAGCGGCGGCAGCCCTCCCTTCTCGTCGCCCCCGAGACTTCCCTACCGCCGCACGTCTCGGTTGCTCGTTCGGCCGCTCCCCCGCCGGCCCGCCCATCGCCTGAGGTAAGCGCCTGCAGTACAGTACCGCACTTCTACTTTTCCAGTCGATCGTTGCCCTCGTAGTGCGTGGGCATCGTCCCCGTGCCGCCGGAGGGCGTGGTCCGGGGGTGAGGTCTTGCGAGGCGCGGACCGCGGAGCGAGGGAGAGCGGCCTCCTCCTCCGACCGGGGCCGAGTTGGTGACCGGTCGATTTTTCAAGCTAGGGGTAGAGCAGATGTCCAGCGGGTTTCAGATCCACCCGCACGGTGTTTCGCTACTGTAAACGAGCGTCGATTGCACGGTCGATCGATTGGCCTCGCATTTCCCCCAGACCTAATTTCTGGGCAGAAACATTTCTGAATTCTTAGGTAGTCCCATGTTCTAGCACACTGCAGAGCCTAGATGGCCAAGCAGGGGCTTGTGTGGCTCAGGCTGGTGCATGTGCCCACTTGCGCTTGTGGATGTAAGGAGGGAGGGGAACACTTCGCTTTTCAGTGCCCATAGTAGTGTCTCATCTTGTTGTGGTCATGATATTATTCACAAAGTTGGCTTGTGGAAGTGGTTCATTACTAGATTAACATAGTTGTGGTAGCATGGGACTAGGAATGTTCTGTATCTAGAGCCAAATTTCCAATTACATTACATCTTCTTGCCAAAATGGTTCGTTGGTGCAATTTATTGAAGATGTGGATATGTGCCAGTAATAGCTAGTTGCAGGCGTTACTGAATGCGCCTTTTCATTTCTTAGAAGCATGGGGGCATAAGAGCCAACTCCAAGGGAGTTACCCAGAAACCATGATTTTGAGGCTCTAAAAGAAATTGGTCTCCCAAACAACAACCCTCTCACAACAAAATGCACATTCATTCCATTCTCCATCTTTTAAAAGTGCCACGTAACTATTTTGTACCAATTTCCCCCCTGCCTATCAGATCGCAACTGTTTCGCACCAGCGCATATCGTGCGTCCTTCCTGCCTTCACCCAGACAGGAAGAAAAAAAAAACATCAGCTGCCGTGGCCACCAGTTACCCGCCACATAGAATACTGTTTTATTCATTTCATAACTATTGTTGTCATATTTGAAAACAATTCCTATGTGCTTTCTCACATTTCATTATTTAGCTTCACAATAATATTTTGAGAATACTGTTTTATTCATTTCATAACTATTGTTGTCATATTTGAAAACAATTCCTATGTGCTTTCTCACATTTCATTATTTAGCTTCACAATAATATTTTGAGAGCTCCATTATTTGAAGAGTGTGACTGCTCTGCACATGCACAATCAGTAGTTTCCTTCATTTAGTGTTGGCATGATTTTAAGCTCTCTTTCAGGCTACAAAACTATCCACATCTAGCTCACAACTAGTACTACTTCTACTACAGCTCAGGTGGCAACACATTGGTGCCAACATCTCTCTCCACACAAATAAAACTGAAAAGATGAGCCCCTGCTGAAGTTCTGAAACGTGTTGCAGCAGAGCTGTTGCCACTCTGAAAACTGGCATTTCAGAAGTACTACATGAAGCAAGCAATGGTGTAGATTCCACACAAATTTCATTAAATCCAAACTAATAGGATCAGTAGTTCCTGACGGCTGAAAAGCAGTACAACAAAGATCGTTGTCTTTCTGATGGCACTCAGGAAGTACAACAAATACAGATTATTAAATTTTAAAAGCTAGAATCGCCCAAGAAATAGCTACAGGAAGTCCCTTTACGTCTTCTCTTTGAGTTGCTCTAAGGAGGGGACAATGGTTGCTAAGTTTGCAGAATTTTCCTCTTTGACCCTTGGATGTTTAGGTATTAACTTATGGTGGTCAACACTCAACACCATGCAGATGATAAATTGGGCTTGTGTAGACGAATAAAGTTTTAATTACATAGGTATTGTGCTTACCTCAGTTAAGTGTTATACCTGAAATGCTGATACACAATGGTTTCTGTAGGTTCCTCTGACGGTGCCACGGAGTTGCAACTGCACAAAGGTCTTTTGTGGTCACAAAGGGTGCTATTGTGTTACAACAAGCCACGGAGTTGCAACTGCACAAAGGCCTTTTGTGGTCACAAAGGGTGCTATTGTGTTACAACAACAGTTCTAGTTGAAGTAATAAGACAGTTTTGAAACTGTCTGCTGTCATTGCTTCCATGGTGAGCATTGCAAATTCTCAATTTTTTAGGATTTTCTGTGCTGTGAAAGAGAATCATTACAACTCAGCAGTACTGTATCCCATGATTCTAATGGCATGTCTGTGACACTGAAGGCAACCAATGAGAACCTCCCACCAAATGTTATCAGGCAATTGGCTAAAGAACTGAAGAATCTTGATGAGTCACCTCCAGAAGGGATTAATGTAATTGTCAATGATGATGACTTCACTACTATTTTTTTTGATATTGAAGGCCCTGGTAATTTTCTCTCAAGATGCTTTGGTTTACTGTGCAAATATTTTGGCCTTCATCTATTGAATTTGCGTGATCGATCATGCTATGTGCCTACTTTGCAGACACTGGTGTCTTTTACTCTTTTTCCATTCCATGACTTTCCTCTTTCTCAAGCATGATTTTTCCATTCCATGACTTTCCTTTCTCACTACTTTTTAATAGTACTGTCTTAAAATTTTAATCTGGACATCGTGCAGCTGGAACTCCGTATGAGTATGGGGTGTTCAGGATGAAGCTATTATTGTCTCACGATTTCCCTCAATCTCCCCCAAAAGGTAGTTATCCTCTGAGATTTCCAAAGTTCTTCCCTTTGTCGAAGTGAAGCCTTCAGTCGAAAATCTGTTCACTCTTTGACCTTACTTTGATTTGCAGGATTCTTCTTGACAAAATTTTTTCCATCCAAACATAGCTACTAGTGGTGAGATATGTGTAAACACACTGAAGAAGGATTGGAATCCTGGCCTTGGATTAAGACATGTTCTTCTGGTAAGATTGGCGTTCAACACACATAAACCAGTCCATTATTTTATTCGCAGCACTACAAAATTTCTTTGTAAACAATTACTATGCTTTCGCTTTGATCTAGTAGACCAGCTGGATATGTTGCAGTTGTTGTCCAACATGGTCGAAACATACTGAGTTGCTTGTTGGCATGCCTTGTAGGTAGTGAGATGCCTTCTGATCGAACCATTTCCTGAATCTGCACTTAATGAACAAGCTGGGAAGATGTTACTTGAAAATTATGAGGAATATGCACGGCATGCAAGGTCAGCCCTTGAACTTATGTTATCAACTTGGAAGTGCTCATAGGTGTCCTCTTATTGGTCAAAAGTACTGTATCAGGAACCTTTGATTCTTTATGCCAGCAATACTGACACTACAGCAATTATTTGACAATCAAGATCATATCACTTTATTGTTTTTTAGGTCTCTGTCCTCGATGCTGACTTGTTCGTTGTGCTCCATATTGCAGGTTATACACTGGCATCCATGCCCTTAAACCTAAGAATAAGTCCAAGACTGGAGCTATATCTGAGTCGACCACAGCTCTGAATGTCGACAAGTCGAGTACTGCTTCCAGCGAGAACACACCATCGATGCCGCCGGCAGTATCTACCTCCACTGCATCCAGAGCATTTGGCACGAATTTGCAGGATCAGAACCCTACTGCTTCTGATCCTGCTGTAGGAGCAGCGGCGGCGCGAAAGAAGGATGGCCCAATGGCCTGCAAAATTCCTGTTGATAAGAAAAAGATGGATGCGCGGAAGAAGAGCTTGAAGAGATTATAGGCAGGGAACCCTCCTGGGAAGAAGAGGGTTTATAAATAGTTCAGAATTTAAATTTGCCAGAAATTCAGCAGATGCTTAGTGAAGCTGGGAGAGAAACAATAAGTTGAGAGGCATCTGATGACCTGGCTTGCGGGAGAAGGGGTCCGGTACAGTGTCGTTTTGTTTTTATTTGGTAATAATTGTCCAAACGTTGACTAATTAATCTCGCAAAGTACAATCAAACTGTGCAATTAGTTTTTTATTTCGTCAACATTTAGTACTCCATGCATATACCGTAAGTTTTATGTGACGGGGAATCTTTTTTTTACGTGGTGCCAAATTCTGGAAAATAGGGGAACTAAACATGACCCTGGTCCTACGGGACAACTGTATGTGCAATGTCCAATCATTTGGAAGAACACTTGCCTATTTCCTTTTGTTGTTTCCCCTTGTCTGATCTGATGCATTCAATCAGCATGCCTGCTAGTTGCGGTGCAGGAGCAACTGGTGGCAGAGCGTACTCCGCGTACATGGCCTTCCTACCAACCTCTACCTGACCAATTGCGCGTCAGATGCTCAGATTCAGGTTTCAGTGCTGGCTGCAAAAGTACGGTCTTGTTTAGATTAGGGTTAGGAATCAGTATTTAGCATTGTAGTATTTTCATTTATATTTGACAATTATTGTCTAATCATGACTTAATTAGGCTTAAAAGATTCGTCTCTTAATTTACAATTAAACTGTGTAATTAGTTATTTTTTTTATCTACACTTAATACTCTATGCATGTGTCTAAAGATTTGATGTGATAGAGAGATAGTGAAAAAACTTGCGTCTAAACCAGGCCTATGCCTGTATACTCTCTGGATCGTGGTTGTTGTGGTAGTAGCAGCGGTTAAGATCTGATACTTGGAGTAGCCTGGCTAGTTGTTGGTTGCAGACGTTAGTTGCTTGCGCGTTATCAAGCTAAGGGGGGTGTTTGATCTGGTGACTAAAATTTAGGAGGTGTCACGTAAGGGTGTCGCGTGGGTGTTCGGATATTAATAAAAAAATAAATTACAGAATCTGTCAGTACTCCACGAGACGAATTTATTAAGCTTAATTAATCTGTCATTAGAAAATATTTATTGTAGCACCACATTGTCAAATCATGGACTAATTAGGCTTAAAAGATTCGTCTCGCAAATTAGTCATAAATTATGCAATTAGTTTCATAATTAGTCTATATTTAATACTCATTGCATATATCCAAACATCCGATAGGATAACAACTAAAATTTTAGAGGAGCAACCAAACACCCTCTACCCCCTGCGACCCAAGAGCTGGGAACTCTCACCACTGGCGTATGGCGAGGCGACCCAACCAAGTCAACTTTTCCAGGCCTTCCTTGAAATGCGGGAATTTGTTTAGGGCTCGTTCGGTTGCAGGGAAATGATCCCCAGCCGCACAGATCTTTCACAAATTTGTATTACCGCGGAAGATTTCGGGGCTCGGAACGGCCCGTTCTGAGACAACCGAACGGCGCCTTACTGATTCCTGTGTTTTTCCTATAACAGCCGTATGAAGTTCGAAACCTGGTACTTTTAACTAAAGTACTGTCTTTGCTTCCCCTTTCCCCTTTCCTCCTCTGCCAATCTGCAACCTCCACATCTAATTCCACCTTCTCTATCTCAGTCTTCCTCGATAGCTTCCGTATCAGTCTTCTTCGCTGCTTCTCCACAAACTGTGGTTGCTCTTCCTCTCTGTCTCACTGTCTCCACCTCCGTACCAAATTAATCTTCACGTTATCACGTAGTATTTCACAATCCGGCAGGCCAGCCGGAGAGAGCAGGGGTTCCTCGCTGCCCGCCGGAATTTCGAATCCGAGGCCTGGGCTGCTGGGCAGGAGCAGGACCAACGGCTACCACAGCCACGGCCCACGGTTCCGGGGCCTATCAAACTGTCGGCAGGTGGGCCCATAAACTCTCCTGGGCCCATCTCTAGCCCGTGCTCATCATCTGCGGGGACCACTCGACGTCAACGGTCGGATCGCTCTCCTCGCAGCGGAATAGCGGATTGCGTTGCTCCCATTTCGGCAGCTCGACTCTCAACAAAGACTCAAAGTTCCTGGCCCCTTCGTCCCTCTCTCCTCTCTCCTCTCTCCTCTCCCCCTTCTCCCCGCGCCTAGGGTTTCGTACCCCTCCCCTCGTCCAGGCGTCCACCCGGACCACCGCCGGGCGGCGCGCGGCGGCCAGCCCCTCCCCGCCGCCTGAGACTTCTCCACTACCAGCAGTCTCAATTGCCCTCTTCGTTCGCTCTCTGGCAGCCCGCGCTCCGGGATCGATCCCTGCCTGCGTACCTACGAGCCGGGGGGCGACGTCGATCTATCGGCCGTACAGCCGGAGGCGGTGGTAGGCCGGTGACGAAGAAGGGGCGGTCTCTTGCTGTCCTACGGCTCCTGCCCTGCGTCGGGGGTAAGCAGCCAATTTCTTATGTTGGATTGGAAGGAGGGGACCCAGATGGGATCTCAGCCAACCCCGTGCCCATGTGCGCTGGGGCAATTGATTCGTCAATTGATTGGTCTCGCATTTCCTTTGCCCAACATAGATCATTTCTGAACAGAGACATCCGTTTCTGAATTATGAGATGGGGTTGGATTGGTATGTGGTTTAGGACTGCCATTGTGTTGCTGTAGTGAAAAGTTCACCGTGCCAGATCCTGGATGTAAGGAACATGAAGCACACCCTGCACAATTGATCATGCATTTGTAGTCTGATATGTTTAGTTGGCGTTGCTGTTTTCTATCTCTGTGTTGTTAACCGCTTAACCACAATGAATAGCTTGTGATAATGCTCCCATTGATAGATTGACACAAATGCAGTAGCATGGAACAACAATGTAATGGACAACCGTGACTCACTTCCAGAATGGCAATTAATTGGTCTGACTTAACTGCGCTATCCACATATTTAATACTTCTTTCATATTTTATAAGTTGCTATATATTGCAGTTCTTGGTGTTTGCCGACATTGCGGGCATAATTTCTTAGCAGCATTGAATTACTACTGTCGCCCTTACGTGTGCCTTCTGTGGTTGTGCATGTCATGTGTATCCTTCTGTGTATGTGGGGACAATGATTTATAGAAGTTGGTATATTTATTAGGAATTGATTCCTTTTGATGTTTGGATAGCCAGCAAATGACTAGTTAGGCTGTGGAAATGGCTCCTTTATATATCAAGAAAGTTGCAATTACTTGGGACATGGAATGTTCCATATCCATCTCAATTATACGGTCGATCTGAAATGCTGAAGGCCTGAAGTACTCCTTTCCTTTTTCTGCTTCTATGTCACTTCCATCGGTACCTGCCTACCTGGTCTACACCTAGTTACCTACATACATAATTCATATGGCAATATTTTTTATTCAGTACCATCGTTAAAGTTACCACTTACACAGCAATGGTTCTTGATATTCGTATCAGAGATCATTTTCATTGGGTGTGTCTATATCTCTACAAGAGCTAGTGATATACCATGTGTCGCAGGAACGAAGAATATAGGCTTAGTGATGTTAATTGTTTCCTAAGAGCACCCCTAATGTGTGTTCAAATTGAAGGGGGCGATTTTCGGCTGCTTTGATATGTGTGGGTTCCACAGACAACTTAAAAATAATTCCTCTCTTCCTGACCTTTACATGACTATAATAAGGGTTCTGCCTGTTCCTTTAGGTTCCCTCACCCTCTCAAATAAATTCAGCCATGGCTCCACAAAACTCGTGGAGATGACTAGATCCGGTCAATGGCACAAAACTGGCCGGATTCGCTCCAACTCCTCTCGTAGTCTCATTTGTTTCCTTCTCCATTGGTTGTTGCATCCAGATATCACTGGAGCCCATAGAGCTTGCATGCGATGCTGATAGAGACCTATCCTCCACACTGCATAGGAGGCTGTGCTCCACTGCTCCTCCGCACCAGACCACTTCCCGCTGCCTGAGGTGCTTCCAAATCTACCACAGAAGTGGAGAGGGGGGTGCTGGTGTCGCATGGTACCTCTGATGTCCGCTGTGCACCATCCTCGGATAGATGCAGCAAGCATGCGGATGGTTGGGCCAACAGCAAAGAGCAAGCAACATGTCTGAAAAAGCCGAAAACTATTTTTATTCTTTTTTAGTTGGAAACCGAACTTGCAATTCGATTTTAGGGTTCTGAAATAACTATTCGAGTGCTCCTTTGTGCAATGTTTGCTTTCTTCTCATACAGTTTAATTTGCACACAGTCACCTGCTTTGGAGCCACTAGTACATGTCTTCCACAAGACCATTCTAAGCACCTTATGCATATTTGATTTTTCCTTAGTTTTTATAAATGCTTACTTGATTTTGTGATGTTCTTCTATATATCCAACAGTATCTAATACCATAAATACATTTTGCAATTGCACAGTGCTCAGTTTGTGCCAAAGGTGTTATTTTGGTACTACAGGATTTATAAGTGAAGTTGCTGAAGAAGCGGCTTTAAAGCTGTCTGCTGCTATTGCTTCCATGGTTAGAATCTGAAAACTTAACATTTTAGGATTACTTTCTGGATTGAGAATGATTCCAATGGCATATGTATATGTACGTCACTGAAGGCAACCAACGAGAACCTCCCACCAAATGTGATCAGGCAATTGGCTAAAGAATTGAAGAATCTTGATGACTCACCTCCAGAAGGAATCAAAGTTAGTGTTAATGATGATGACTTCACCACTATTTTTGCTGATATTGAGGGTCCTGGTAAGATATTGTCAAGATACATCGGTTTTACACCTGCCATTATTTTGTTACTTTAATGATTAATTTTGCACGCATCTTTATGGTGCCCATGCTGTTGAACTTGCTTAGTAAGTAGTGTTAGTCTTTTGTCAGTCCATAGATTTTTAACAAACTGTTTGTTTAGAGCTAAGTATTATGAAGCTTCCCCTATGACAGTGGCTATGACAGACCTTGAATTGCTTTGAAATTTCTAAGTTTCCTTTTATCTTGTACTACTTTCTTAAATTATGTCTTGAAAATCTAAATCGCAACATGGTGCAGCTGGAACTCCATACGAGAATGGATTATTCAGGATGAAACTATTATTATCCCGTGACTTCCTCATTCTCTCTCCAAAAGGTCGCTATCTTTTGAAACTTTGAGAATCTTCCATAGTAGATTTTTTTCCTTTTAGTGAAGCATTTAGCTAAAAGTCTTTGGCTTTCTACTTACTTGCAGGATTCTTTTTGACCAAAATTTTCCATCCAAACATAGCAACTAGTGGTGAGATATGTGTGAATACACTGAAGAAGGATTGGAATCCTGGTCTTGGATTAAGACATGTTCTGCTGGTAAGCTGAAAGTACAGCACACTCACCCTTAGTCCTTATTCCACTGCTAATGTGTTACCTGTCTGTAATCAATTTTCAAGTTTGATCTATCTCAGAGGTCCAAATATCGTCAATTAAGCCACAACATGCTGCGGACTTACTATTGGTCGCTTTTTTTACACGTTTGTCAGGTAGTTAGATGCCTTCTGATTGAACCATTTCCTGAATCTGCCCTCAATGAACAAGCTGGAAAGATGTTACTTGAAAACTACACGAGAGAGTACGCATACGGCATGCAAGGTTTGCCTCAATTTCATGTTGTCAGCCTAGACTAGCCCTCAACTTTTTTTTCCCTTGTGGTGAAGATTACATTGTTAGGCTTGTGTGCAAGCACTGTCTACAATTACATGTGTCAGATCATATCTCTTACTGAAGCGTCTTTTGAACCTGTAACGAGTTCCTGATGACCATTTCTGTTCTCTGTATGTAGGCTATACACTGGCATCCACGCACTTAAACCTAAGAACAAGTCAAAGAGTGGAGTTATTTCTGAGTCAACCACAGCTCTAAATGTGGGCCAGTCCAATACTGTTCTCGGTGAGAACACACTTTTGGCGTCAGCAGCGATATCTACCTCTGCTGCGGCCAAAGCATTAGGTAAAAACTCTCTGGATCAGAATGCTGCTACGTCTGATCCTGTTGTAGGAGCATCTGGCGCGCCCAAGAAGGATGCGCCACATGCAGTCAAAGTTCCAGTCGATAAGAAGAAGATGGATGCAAGGAAGAAGAGCTTGAAGAGATTGTAATTGTAACCGAATAATCCTGGGAGGCGAGGGGGAGTGCTTAGTGGTAGATAAGATAATGATGACTTCATTTGTTGCTAGATTCAGAAGACGCCGGGTTAGAACTGAAGGTAAAATAGCGCCAGAAGCATCTCATGGGCTGTACTCTGTTTGAACAATCTGTCCGTGCAATTACAATCATTTATTCATTTGTTTGGAAGAATAGTTGCCTTTTTCTGTTGATTCCCACTATCTCTTTGTTTAGTCTTGTTCATCTACAAAAGAGATTAGATGCTCCATGAACGATGGACATGGAATAGCTAGTTCAGTGAACGTGAAGCTTTCTTTGTCGAGGCGTTGAGTGCTAAAGTGAAGAAGGCAGTAGATAGATACTCGTTCCAGAACCAATGAAGAATGGACACGAGAAAACAACAAAACTATTGCCCCACCGTAATGATCATTTCGGCTACTGCAGAACCTTTTCCTTCGGGTAGTAGGGCTGGGGCCTAAATTGGGAAACCATGACGGAACTTTCGTTCCGGGCTGATTCTCAGCCCACTTACTTTTGTCCCCCGTTGGGAGCTGTTATCTCATGCCCACCTCGATTCTTCAGGAGTACTATCAAAAAGGCCTTTTACCAACACTAATCTGCCTCCCATCATGCCCATCCCCACTAGCACCACATCAGTCCAGCACCAGCTCCGGCACTCTCTCTTGTTCAAGCACGAGCCTGTTGGCTTCGTCGTGTCTTATTAGCCAACGAACAATATTTTTTTCTCATACCAAACCAGCCAACAGTATTCAGCCATGGTTTATCAGCTAAACAAGCCCAAACGAACAGGACACGGTGTTTAGGTCATGTGGATGGAGTTTCCTTTTCGAGATACGATTTCTTGTTTTCCTTTTCTTTTTTTTAATATATTGTTTCTGTTTATAGCCTACCACAACTTACTTAGCAATGAAAGGCTATGCTGTTGTAGTATATATTGTTTCTGTTTCGTCTTGAGCCTGGCCCCGGCAACGCCAATATTCTTCTCAATTTATCTGGAGAAATGTGACTACTGCTAATCTTCAAAAGACTAAGATTACAAGCAGTCAAGATCCAAGAATCCAGATGACAAAGCCCAAGTGAGCTTTTTACACTTTGATGTGCCGGTGACGTGCTATGCCCTGCCATGCGATGGTGATCCACTCGCTCTTCCGGCCCCAAAGTTCTCGTGACCCAAAGAGGATTCAGAAACTTTCACAGGCAGCCGCGCCACTAGGCACTAGGCAAGGGCACAAGGCTGGCTTGGCTATGCTTTGCGCCTCTCTCTCTCTCTCTCTCTCTCTCTCTGCCCTTTTGTTTTGTTTTTTATATATAAAATATACTCTTTAATCCGTTGGGTTACTTTGACAGGAGAGACCAGTAGTGAAAAGTCCAAAGCGATGGCCGGTGAGGCGGTGACGTGCTACGTGCTACGGCTTGCTGGCTAGGGAAACAAGATCTCGCCACCTCTCCAGACGCAACGGAGGAGATACGCGGCTTGTTTTCGAAGCCAGGTGCGGAGAACTCTGCGCAGCATAAAGCTGCGGCGATTTTCGTGCCATCAGCCTCATGTTTTAGCCAGGTTATCCAGAAGGTCAAAGCAGCTGGTGGTGGATGAGATGTTTCAAGGGCAAAGGCTACGCCGTACTCCTGGTTGGTCTTGCCGCAAAGAGGAAAGAAGAATCTCTAATGTCACGGGCACGAAGAGTGCCTACTCCTGCGTCTATATATCCATGCCATGATCTTCTCTCTGACTAATATAAGTGTTACGGTTTCGTACGTTTCACTATTTTCTTTATATTATATTATTAGGCTACTAATAATACCATTAAAATAACATTGTGTACACTGTAATGTGTGCTCCCTTAAGAATAGTCCAGTGTTATTGAGCCCTGCAGGTTGCAAACCGGGCTTAATTAATACAAGAAACTGTGGTGGATGAACGTCAGTCGTCAGGGTTGTGACAAAAGATTCTCCATGCCCGGCCTAGTGGACCACTCCCGTTTATATCTCCTCCTACCCGCACTAATCAGATCCCCAAATCTTCGATCTCAATTCTCACAGGACGAATGTCCGTGACATACGCGTATATGAGTGATGTGAGATCCACCGTTGTTTGTTTATAAGGCTTTAAGCCGTCGTCCTTCCTTCGTGCACCAAATTAATGCGCCTCGATTAATTATTAGTATTAAGCACCCAGTCACAGCACATCTATCACTGTATTTAGTCTGGGTTATTATACGTCTTCGTGTGATGGATAAGGATGTGGCTCGTCAACTCATCACTATTGAACGGGAAGCGAAAGGAGATGCTGCAGGTCTCTTGGTGTCGTCCTGGCCTCGTTTCGTCTCGTCATTTTCTAGCGCTTGATTTAGGAACATGTGGTTGACCGTAGCGATCACTGCAATTTCCATGGCATTAGTCTCGCATCCATGATGAGGCTAGCTTGGAAGAACGGTTCTACGGTTGACCAAGAGCTCGATGAGGAGTACATATATCAATTTATTGTTGGTTAGTGAAGTCACCACACCAGATGCTACTTGGCAATTTCTTCCGCAACAACAACGTCCGGACGTGGAGCCATCGATGGAGAACTTTTGTGCCCTAGACGACCGTGTGTGTTTTGAAGTCGTGCAAATGTACTAATAGGTGGCAGACCTCAGCTGTAAGAGTTATATATATTTATAGCTGGCCATCGCTTGCTCTAGAAAATTTTAGAGCTAAAGCTAATGAGTGGGCGAACGTGCACTTAGTTTAGCTACTTTGTTTCTAAATTTGGATTAATTAAACCTAGAGGTTCAAATGATCTTGGTTTATTATAAAAACTTCGAATTCTACGTGGATCTCGAAGGGATCTGACAACAGGTTGTGGGTAGCAGCAGGTAAAGATCAACTGTCCTGTTCACTTGACTGATAAGCTATGACTGAAAGTACTGTTGACTAATTTGTTGTTAGAAAAAAATACTGTTCGTTGAGTGAAAAAATACGACTTATAAGCCAAACGAATAGGACGAACGTAGATAACCTTTTTCTATAAAAACTTCAAATTCTATGTGTAGATGTAATAATTCTTAATGCAACTGTCAGTCAACGGCGCAGGTCAAGTAGACGCGGTCACCGGTCAAGTGCACACGCACAGACACAGTGCCGAGGTGGTTTCGCTCTCCCGTAGGCTCGCCATCGCCATCGGTTGTCAAATCGACGTTGTACTGCGTGTCTAGATCACCCGGTTTTGGAGGGATCCTGGCCATCTCGCAGACTGTTCGCTTTTTTTTAAGCCGAAACTTATTAGCAAGCTAATACTGTTTTTCTTTTACAATAAACCAGCACCCGTTAGGTTTATTAGCCGGAATGCGACCAGCTGACAGGCTCTCGGTCCCAAGAGAGACTCCCGACTACCAGCCAGTAGTAATTAAATAAAAGCAGCTCACGTTCCAACTTGTGGCCGGGGTAGTTGGTGAAACTGCGTGCCTCGTCATCACTCGTCAGAAACCAGATGAAACGTGCTACGATCAGCCGGCCGGTCCGCCGCTAGCGGGCCAGGACAGGAGGAAACGAGACGAATAGGAAACAAAACCTGGCAAGAACAGCTATGCCCACGAGGGCGAGCGGGAGAGAGGCGCAGCGCAGGCCGCGACCGCGACATCCGTCCGTCGTCCACGCGCAGGCGGGCGCACATGCTCCCCCCGCGGTCCACGCCGGCCGCACACTGTTGCCGCCGAGGACCAGCTAGCCAGCAAGCCTCCCGAGTCCGGAGTCCCCCCGCGTCGTCACCCCGGGCCCCGCCAGGCGCCATAGCGTGAGCCGACGCGCCCAATCATGCCATCCCCATCCATCCCACGCTGTAAACAAAACAAATCCCACCCCCGTGCCAACGCCGAGGCAACGCAAGCCTTTTTTACGCCCGCTGCTGCGTTGCGTGCTCCCCTCCTCCCCTGCTGGTGCCTGCTGGCAGCCGCGCGCTACTTGCCTTGCCAGTTGCGTCGCTGCTTGTCCCCCGGTCCCATACCACACCACCCCAGCCATCTCCTCTGTCTCCGCCTCGTCGCTTCCGTCCACTCCTCCTCCACCTTCCTCCCTCCCCATTGCTCCAAGCGCGGCGGATCTGGGCGACCGGCGGTGGCCTCCGCGCGCCGTCTGAGCGGTTGCGATCCGAGGCGCGGCGGCCACTTCGAATGGTGTGATCGACCCCGTTGGGAATTGGGTTGGGAGCGAGGCCATGCAGCGGGCTCCGGAGCGCCGCCGTGGCGCCGGGCCGCTCCTGCTGCTGGCGCTGGTCGCATTGGTGGCCGCGCCGAGGCTCGTGCGCGCGGTCACCGACGCTGCTGATGGTACGCTCGTCCACGAGCTTCCCCGCCCCCCCTCTGCTCTGCTCTGCTCGCAGCGAGTTGGTTCCGTGGACTACCACCGCTTCGCCGCCGCTCGCTCATGCGCTGGTTTGGGGTTTTGCGTGCGCGGGTGGGTTGTTCCGGTCTTGTCGGTGGTACTGTACTGCGAAGCGAAGCACCCAAGCAGGGGGATCGGATTGATTCTGTGCGGTGCTGACGTGCTGTGCAGCTGTGTGTGCCGCTGGGGAGCGGCGGTTCGCGTTGCTCTCGCACTTTTCTTTCTCGCCTGCCCGCCCACCTGTAGTTAAGGATATGTGCGGTGAAATTATGTCGGTGCCGGCGCTGCTGTGGGGTGTGTGTGTGGTGACAAAGTGAGGAATGATGAGGGCCTCTGCTTTTGCGGATTACTACAACTTCGTCTCGACTCCGTGAGCGAACCCGACATCCGAGCGAGCTCGCTCGCCCGACTGTCAAGTTTTGTCATAAAACCTGCAATCTCGTGTCTGCTTGCTACTGCTAGTGCGGGGCGGCTGTAATTTGGATCGCTTGGTGTTTTTCATTCTGTTGGTTTGTACCACGCGGGCCGTCCCTCTCGCCTGGGATAACGAAAGGGACTTTTCAGGCGTTATCGAAACAAGCTGCCTCTGTCCTCTGCGCCTGTCTTATCTCTTATGACAGCAATGACACACGTGGATGGGCTGCTCGCATGATGGATCCGTGGGATATTGATAACATGCAGATGCAGGAGAAAATGATGGTTTGCTAATTATGTTACCCGTACTAGTAGCAGGATGGTTTGTTAATTACGCTAGCAGTACAATACAAACAGCACGGGAGCATTAACCGTACTACTTGTGTTAATTGTCACATTGATGGTACTGCAGGTAGTGCCCGTAGTGAGGGCCCTACTCATGTTGGGATCCTAGGATGGTAGTCTAATTGACAATGATAGTGATTAGTGTTGTAGTTGGTTCATTAGTCAATTATTAAGTGTTGATGTGGGATCATGTTCCTAGAATTATTGAACTTACATATGCTTTGAAAGCGCAAAATCTTCTTTTATACGCTGTTTTCAGGTCAGGTGTTGTGCAATGCAGGCAGTGTGGATTCTTTTTCAAAGGGTTACTCAATGCTAATTGCTTCTTCATGCATTCTTTTATCATCTGTAGTCTCTGCCATAAACGGACTGTACATTTCACTGGGATCACCACCTCTTCCTGGATGGACTGGAAATGGTGGAGACCCCTGTGGTGAGAGCTGGCAGGGTGTTGTGTGTACCGGCTCTTCCATAACTGGAATGTATGTCAGGTTCTTCATTGCATCTCCTTTTATCTATTATATTTGTTTTACTTTTCACCATTATCAACTCACTGTTTCTAGAACCATGAATGCTGCAAACTTGGGAGGACAGCTGGGAAGTTTAGGAAACTTCACTTCCATCACCAGCATGTAAGGATGTTCACACTAAATTTGTTACTCATTATTTGAGGTTTTTCATTATATCCTTGTGCCATGATCAACACTAGTATGTTGCAGTCTGAATTAGAATATTTTCTACTGGTTGAGTTTATGCCCACTTCATATACAGGTTGAGTGTCTGACCAATAACTTTATTTTATCTATAGAGAGCTTAGCAACAATAATATTGGTGGAACCATACCGGAGGACCTACCTGTTACATTGCAGAGTCTGTATGTTCATCGATCATTTCTGCAGTCCCTTTTAGCCTTTTGAGACCATTAATTTCATGGAATGATCTATGTTTTCTCTTGCTACAGTTTCCTCTCTGCTAATCAACTTACTGGAAGCATCCCAAGTTCACTGTCAAAACTCGAAAACTTGACAGCCATGTAATCCCCCGCTGCAAGATTGTATTCATGCTAGTTTGGTATGTAAACCACATGCTGTGTGATCCTTGTTTTCCCAGGTCAGTCAACGGCAACAGTCTAAATGGAGACCTACCAGACGCTTTTGATTCACTCAGTAGACTTGTAAATTTGTAAGATGTGTCCTGTTTCCTACATTCACTCATTGGACTTGTAAATTTGTAAGACATATGTGTGCAGATGTGGACCAATATGGTGTCTTGATCGACTGACCATACCATCTGCACTTGCTTTACAGGGATATTTTTTCGAACAACTTGACTGGCGTGTTACCATCTTCAATGAAAAGCTTGGCATCTTTGACTTCATTGTAAGTTTTCTTGTTTTGTGGCCTTTGTTATGTTATTTTCCTATCTTTGTTTTCCCGAACTTATTTCCTTCTTCTCCACCTCTTCTATGATAGGCACATGCAAGATAATCAACTGTCTGGGACCCTTAACGTCTTGCAGGATCTCCCACTGAAAGACTTGTAATACCTCGATCTCATAGCTTTTGTCCCATAGTTGTTCTGTTACATTTGTATTGATAATTGAAGGCATGCTGTTTATCATTATCTTCTCAGTTACATAACTTAGCCTATATGTCAAGTTTTCCCTAATGTATATGGTATTGCAATACCATGTGGTGTCAATTTCCATCGCTGATTTCCAAAGAGTGTAACATTTCATATTGGCTCTAGCACTACATGTTTGACTTGAACAATAGTTTAGCAGATCGTGATTGGCTGATGGTTAACACTCCACAAGCTTGTGCACGGTTGCTAAAGGAGTTAACAAATTTAACAAACTATCTCTTGCTGCCCTCTCGTAGTATGTTGCACTTGCACTTCTCTCATGTACCGCTCACTAATATTTGGAGGTAATGATATCTCGATAGGGTTTTCTTCTTTGGAGAAAGCAACTCATGCTTCATTTACCATGATCTTGCAAATGAGCACTTAATCAGCACTAAGGAAGCGTTAAGCAGTTCATGTCAAGCTCTGCATTCATGCAATACAGCTGCTCAGCTCTTGTAATTGAACTGAATTACTAAAACCACATATAGCTCTGACCTCTTATATTGAAAACATTACTTTGATCATTAACTGTTTGCATTTTTTAATATACTTTCCTGACTTTGAACAGGAACATAGAAAATAATCTTTTTTCTGGACCGGTGCCTGCGAGTTTACTTAACATACCGAACTTCAAGTGAGATACCTTCTTCGGTTCTTCCTTTCACGTTTACCTTAATCAGCCTCATTAAACCTCCACTCTGTTGTCTGTAGCAATGCTATTTCATCTATTAGACAAATATATAATTATTTAGTTAGATAAGTTATCTATATGACTTGTTAAGCGACTAATAGTATATCATCACAGAAAGGACGGAATCCATTCAACACCAGCACAGCCCCATCTCCGCCTTCAACAGGACCAACACCAACTCCAACACCAGCAGGACCAAAACCAGCTCCAACGCCAATACCAGCACCTACCACTTCAAATTCAACGCTCCCAGCACCATCACCCCATCTCCTTCAAGAGCTCCTCCCCACCTAAAACAACCCCAAACTCTTCTGAAGGATCAACTACCTGAGACAGCACTTCATCATCTAGGAAACACAATGCATCAACCCTCAAGATTGTTGGCTCTGTTCTTGCCGGAGTAGTGCTGTTTATTATCATAGTCCTCCTAGTATTATTTTGTCTATCCAAGTACGAAGAGAGACAGTCAAGATATGATCATAATAGAAGTCAGCTGGCAAGGGTGCATCATAGGGTTGAACCACAAATCAAGACACCTCCAGTGCAACAAAGCAATGATGTTAAAAAAGGTAAACCTTTCATCCCAGTATTATATAGCTTTTTGTTTATTTTTGGTGTCCATGTAATTGGTTTATTTGATAGGTCCAGGTGAGGCACTTGATAGGAGGGGCCATGAACTAAATTCATCCGCGGCAGGTATAAAGTCTTTGTGACAAAGTGCATCTAAGTTATATTCACCAACTACAAATGTCTGAAAGTCTGCGTGCTATTGTTTACAGCTCTCCCAAAGAAGTCTCCCGAAAACCAAAAGGAGCACATAATTAACTTTGATCGAACAGATTCAGATCTGTTTCCTGTTTCTCTACCACCACCCCCTCCTCCACCGCCATTACCCCCAATTGAAAGAGTTGTTGCAAATCCCATTGTTCCACCAGAAAAGCGACATAGTCCTCCAACAAAGACAAGTAGCCCGACTTCTGCCACACCATTCTCTGTTGCATCTCTTCAGCAATATACAAATAGTTTCAGAGAGGAGAATGTGATAAGAGAGAGTAGATTAGGAAGGGTTTACCTAGCAGAACTTCCTGATGGCAAGGTACGAACTAAGTATTACCTGTCTTGATGAAAGAGCAGTCATTATGCTCAACATTCAGTTCAAATATTAAGCTAGTATTATTGTATTTTGTGTAGTTATTAGAGGTTATGAAGATTGACAACGCTAATGGAAGAATATCAGTAGATGACTTCCTAGAACAGGTTGAATGTATCTCAGATATCAAACATCCTAACATTCTTGAGTTAGTCGGATACTGTGCTGAATATGGGCAGAGGTTACTCGTGTATAATCACTTCAGCAGAATGACACTAGATGATGCCCTTCATGATGGAGAGGATACTGAAAGTGCACTGTCATGGAGTGCCCGCCTCCAGGTTGCTCTTGGTTCAGGAAAAGCCTTAGAGTAAGTGAAATTATTATTCTATTATCAGTATAATAATCCACATATGGTGTTCTTTAAAGCTGTTAAGCTTTCTGTCAATTTATTTTCAAATTAATTTTTCCTGCAGGTATCTCCATCATAACTTCGAACCTCCAATTGTGCACCAGAATTTTGAACCAGCTAATGTGCTCCTTGATAAAAAGTTTTCAGTGTGTGTTGCTGAATGTGGACTGGCAGAATTGATGCCATCAAGTTCAGTCACTCAGGTAAGCTATAATATTGATGAAGATGTTTCATGTTTTTAGAACACCTAAAAAAGGGGATAATGCAATCATGGTTCTATTTACATCTTTTCGTCATGTCCAGTCTGTTTGAATTGCTCACATTACTATGGCTGAAGTATCTCAAAATTAGAATATCATCTTGAATTCTCGATCCATAGGTGTTAGTGTTAACAGTGTTATCACTTATCAGGCGTAACAGTTACTTGTTCACTGTAAGATAGTTTGTGTTGACAAGCCAGGGATTTCCCATGTTGTAAATTGTAATCAACTTAGCTACTGCAATTGCCTATTGCAACATTTCTATCTTCTCAATGTTTTTCAGCAAGGACATTTTAATCCTTTAGCTATTCTGTTGTTCATAACAAGCTAATATGCTTTACCGATGGTGGGTGCAAAGGCCCTGTGGAACCTCCAGCGCTAGGTCTAGTGGCTGTGGCTGCAGTAGATGTTAATCAAAAGGTCACAAATCGGTGAATGCAATCAAAAGACTAACCCCACTGTGGATTTGGCATGTAATTAAACCGCTTTCTATTAATGCAATGACACAATTCTCCTGCGTGTTTGAGAAAAAAAAAAGGCCTGGAACAGAGTAACTGAATGTTAATGGCAAAAAATCATGTAATATATGCAACTAAGGTCTGAACAACATGGATGATAGTATGGTGATAATATATCCACTTCTCTAGCAACTCCTTGTAGTTCAGCCTTGTAACCAGATCCTGACTGACATAGATCAGCTTTTGGCTCAACTTGTTACAAAATGGTACATAGGACATAGCCCTTTGGTTTGAACTTGGACGCGACTAAATTCTGATTTACGTAAAGATGTTGATTGTCTGCTCATAGTTGATGCCTAATGCTTTCCTAGTCTCATCACAAATGATTGGCTTAGTTTGTTTCATGTTGCTGAGGTGTGACAAAATGCATCTTCTTATGCTGAAGGGCAGAAATTTCAAGTGTACTCACAGCTGTTGTTTATTCATTACAGCTGTCAGGTCGGATGCGTGCATTACTGAACTACGAAGCACCTGAGTTCCAGGATTCTGGGGTCGTTTCAGAAAGGGGTGATGTCTACAGCTTTGGTGTAGTGATGCTGGAACTTCTTACTGGGCGTAAACCATATGATAGGTAAGGGGTTACAAGGCCTAAGCTTAACCAGTATCTTTTCCTAGTCGTTTCAGATAATTTTTGTTCAGTTCAAAAGAAGTTAAAAATGGCTTTCTGGTTGACATACCCGTTTTATGTGAAAATACGCAGTTCACGCCCGCGTCATGAGCAACATCTTGTTAGATGGGCCAGTTGTCAGCTTCATGACATTGAATCCCTGTCCAAGATGGTGGACCCATCTATACGTGGACAGTGTTCTGAGAAAGAATTGTCACGTTTTGCTGACATAATCAGCCGCTGTATCCAGGTAATTCAAATTTGCTTTCTTCTTCGTCCTTTCATTGTAGTCTGCAATATCAAAGCGGCATATTCCATCTGATTATTTGCACAAAGTGTTTAGGATCAAGAGATCATATGTCTGATCTGATCTGATCTGAATCTTTCATAATGCAGCGGCAGCCAGAGTTCAGGCCACCAATGTCTGAAATTGTACAAGACCTAGCTAGACTTGTAAATGCTACTGGTGAGGAATCAGAGTAACAAAAAAAAAACATGGAGGGCATACAATACAAACCTCGTGACCATGACCAAGTCGCGTGTTGTACAAAATTTTTTGGTACGATAATTGTCTTGCCACAATCTGAGGAGAATATTGCGAAGATGTATTTTCCTCAGAGAGCATTCCACACTAACTCATGTCAAATTGGAATTTCATTTGATAGACTTGTAGGACCTCTAGGTGCAGATCGGTGGGGAAATTCTTAACTTAGATAAGCAGACTTTGTAATGTATCTCGTCGAGTGCAGTCGCGGCTGTGGCGCCGCCAACAAGGTGGCCGCGACGTGTTGGAGTAAGGGAAGCTGTGCAGGCGCCCGCTATGTCGTCGACGGTAGCAGCAGCGTAGGCGCGGACCAGTAGCGATGGTGAAGGCGGTGTTAACTTCCCGTCGCTTACAGCGCGCCCTTCTAGATCGGACTATGGCTAGAAACCTCGGTGGGGTGCTGGCGGCTATGGTGAACCTCGTATCTTGCGCTTCGGCCTCCACCTTTCTCTTTATAACGCTGCGCGACGAGGGCCTATCAGCTAGGAGAACGGCTAGGCGTCTCCGATCAGGGCACGGTTCAAGGGCACAATTGACTGTTGGGCCAACCGGTGGAGATCAATCTAACATTCTTCTCTTTGATATCACCTTATGACTTAAACTTAACTTACTTTATCTTTTTTCTATTCCATCGCTGATCAGTGCATAGAGCGTGTCTTATTGTTACGGTCAGTTGCCATTAGATTAAACAGCTACAATGCACCTCTCTGTTTTGAAACAGATTCTCAACTAGGTCCTTAGTATCCAGAAATCATAGGCTTTTTCGTAAACCCATGTCGAATGTGTATTCTCTGAACGCACTGGGTGATTAGCCTTTGGTAAGCGGATCCGCGAGTACTTGCTTGGTACTTATATGCTCAACGCTTTCAAAATGATTCTGAATTTTCTCCTTTATAACATATAACTTAATGTCAATGTGTTTGGTAGCACACTTGACCTATTGTCTTAAGAGTTAACTTAAAATGGTTATTGTTGTTGACTACCATTGTTATATCCGGGTACATATTCCCTTAACCACTTTTGCTTGTTCGTGAGGCCTCACGGCAAGCTATATTGTGGTATGCATCATTGATGACACCACAACTGTTTCATTGGAGCGTTTCCACAATAATACTCCAACTGCGAGTGTTAGCAACTACTGTGGATTTCACTACACATCTCGTCAAAATTTAACATTTATACCCACAACTATTTGAGAGTACTTATTTTTTCTTACTCAGCATGAGGCCTATGATACTTTGCAAAAATTGCAAGACATTCTTAACTTCATTCCAGTGATCTATATCTAGACTGGACTTCTGCCAAAATATCCCGTATACGTAAGCTACGTTAGGGAAAGTTCTTACTTGTACATTTTTAAGCTTCCAACGGCTGAAGCATATGGAACCATGTTCATTTGATCGATCTCATATCGATTCCTATAACACTGAAAGTTTTCAAATTTATTGCCCTTGACTATAGGAGCTGGCGTAGGTTTACTCGCATGCATATTTTATTTCTTTAGAATCTTTTCTAAGTATGCCTTTGCGATAGTCCTAATACCCTTTTTCATCTATCTCGGTGAATTTCAATTCCTAGAACCAATGAGGCTTCACCAAGATCTTTCATATTGAAACTTGAGGACAAAGACTTCTTCTCTAATGGCAGATTAATATTACTATTAGTGAGTAGGATGTCATCTATACACAGGATGTGGAAAAAGAATTTTTCATTCTAGAACTTCGCATAAACGTTATTGTCCTTCTCATTTTCTTTAAACCCAAACTTTCTTATCGTTTCATCAACTTCAAATACTACTGCCTAGAGACTTGTTTTAACCCATAAATAGATTTTTACAGGTGGCATCCCATACATTCTTTTTCTTCCACGACAAAATCTTTGGGTTGTGCCATGTAAACGTTTTTATACAAATCCCCGTTGAGGAATGCCGTTTTTACATCCATCTGATATAACTCTAAATCATAATATTCCAATAACACCATTATGATTATAAAAGAATCCTTTCATTAGACCGGAGAGAAAACTCTTATCGTAATCTATTCATTCTCTTTACGTAAAGCCTTTTGCTACAAGTTATGCTTTATATCTTTCCACATTCCCTTTGGAGTCATATTTTATCTTGTAGACCCTTTCACATCCTACTGTTTTGGCTCCATTAGGAATTTCTTCTAAGTCCCCAACATCGTTGGTATTCATCGAATTCATTTCAACTTCCATAGCTTCTTGTCATTTAAACGAGTAAACGCTTCTCATGGCTTCTTCAAATGAGGTGGGATCATCCTTTATTTGAATTTCTTCACTAACATAGACTTTATAATCATCAGAAAACTGATTTACTAATTCTTTGAGGCCTCAGCTACTGGCACTTTCATATGGGGCTGTTGTTGCTCTTCATTGCCAAGAGGCAATTGATTCTACAGGCTCTTGTATCACAAGATCCTTGTTTACATTATTTATCTTCTTCGAAGGGCCAACAACAGGTGTTGTATAAGTCATACAACATCAACAAGTATCGAGAAATTCGTTGTTTTGAATTACTGAAGTGGGCACGCAGTCCTGCTTCTCTTCAAGTCATAGGTCTCTACATACCGTTCTCCTCCAGATCGTCCCATCTTTTATAAAGATAGTGTATCTTCTAATTTCTTATTTGGGTTCAATCTGTTAAAACCTTATATGGCGCTTTAAGCACCGTTTTAATATCTTTGATGATGACTACGCTATCTTCCTCTCAGAACTTTAAAAAATCCAGGAATTTAACTGTTTCTCTGCTTAGGGGTATCATTGTTATGATCGACGATCACATTCATCAAAATCTTTATCTCACTCTTAATGAAGAGTAGTTTCTTAATTGATCTTAATTCTTACTCTTAATTCATCTCACAACTTTTCCCCTCGAAATATGACATGAACTATGCTGTCATAATTTCGAGAACTATTCAGAAAACTGTGAACGAGGAGACACTTATGACTTACTTTATTCACATGATTATGCCATGCAAATAAAGTTATTTCTTGATTTATATAGGAGTACACATTCCTCATTCCACTTCAAGAATTCGACGAGGTCTTTTATTAACTGTACTTTTACATGTCACGTTTAGATCTTTTTCTTGTCCTTAGATTAGTATTGACCATGACGGTGCATTTCTATTGTGCCATGGTCTATACTAGGATAGCATAAGAGCTACCCAAACTTCTCTCGCTATGCGGGATAAAAAATATATGAGTCATCACAAAACTTCTCCCCCATGCAGAATTGACTAGCATAAGTACTATGCCAAACTTCTCCCCATGCGGGATAACTTTATATACAAATTACGGTAACGAAAAATTTAGTCATGATGACTAAAACATTCACCTATACTTCATTTTCTAATTAAATCTTCTCATTGGTTCCAATTTAATTAGAAAATGAGTAAACTAACAAAAAACTGTCCTGAACTGGCTTGACTCAAGCCTTTTCATTCACCTACCCTAGCATTGCAGCCCGTTGATATGCAGTCGAACGATCTCGTCGGTTAAAAAATAAAACTTACAAGATGCTTCTCCATCAATTCTACATCACCGGTGGGCAGAAAATAGAATTAATGTATAAAACTCATAAATTAACTTAAAAGACATATAACTACTCTTTAAAATTAAATTCTCCCGTTGGGTCAAATTTAATTAGAAGATAATCAACATCATTGCAGTGATAACATGAGAATAAAATACATTATATTAGTTCAGAAGCATTTCTTGGTCCTTATCTACTCTCTGAAAATTTGACCACGTTGGTGTAAAATTTATCAGAGATTTAAACTTCAAACTCATAAATAAAAAATTATAATATTGCTATCATAAACTTTGCTATCATCAACTTTCGTCAGAAAAATAGCAATATCATAAATATAATATTCTTCTACATTAATTCTATATCACCGTTGGACAGAAATAGAATTAATACATGGAAAACTCATTAATCAACTTACAATATTGTTATCATCGATGTTGGTTAGAAAATAACAATATCATAATTTTACTTAAAACAAATTGGACTACTCCTCTAATTTAATTTTTTTCCGTTGATTCTAATTTAATTAGAGGATAAACATAATCATAATTTACTGAATAAATATAACTTCTCTTCAAATTAAATTTTTTGATTGGTTCGAATTTAATTAGAAGATAATAAACATTAAATTTTGCAGTGGAAACATGAAAAATATTTTATCTACTTTTCAGAAGCATTTTGTTGTACTCTTCTACTCTATGAAAAAATTATCCCGTTGGTTTAAATTTTGACAGAAATTTAAACTAGACAAAAATAATAAAAATTTCGCTTCTGAAAATGATAAAACAATTCATAAACTTTACTGTGCATTTTGGGCCGAAACACACTCACATGTGCTGCTATCTCAATCGTCACGCCTAGCAATGAAATCCGACTTTGCATCGGCCACTCATGCGCCCGCGTCCCCCAGCCTTGAGCCGCATAAACCTAGGCCTAGGCCGAGATTTCCCTCGCCTGCCTGGGCGAATCTAGCCCGAGCGCCCGGAGCCGTTCATCGTGATCGGACGGTCGGGCAACGATCTCGGCGGAATAAAAACCCTCCGCCGCGCCGGTCACCCAAAACCCTAGTTTCATTTCTTCCCCCGCCTTCTCTCTCTTCGCCACACACGAAAAGGAAAGAGCGGCGAGCGGCGCGCGCCGCCCGTCAATCCAATCGCCCGCCACAGCTCTCCTCTGGCTGAAAAGCGCTTGCCGTCAGCCCAGTGCAGGCAACGGTGCCCTAGTCCCCCACACGCGCTGCGGTGGGGCTCGCCCTAAACCCTAGCTCCTCCCCCTTTCTCCTTTATCAGCCCTCAGTGCAGCAGACGCCGGAGAAGAAGTGCGACGCCGCTGCGGGTCCCCTCACTGGAGCGCGCGCTCCCTAGTGGGTGAGCGCGCCGCCGTCGA